TTCGGTAGTCAATTATTATTATTATTATTACTATTTATGTATTATTAATATCTGCTCTGCAAGTAACAATACATATATCTGCTCTTTTTTTACACAGTTCGACATTTTCATAATTAATTGCCGGAAAATGTTTATTAAAATATCACAATTCCTAGGCGAATTCTGATTGGCTAGCGCTGTTCCACTCAAACCGTCCTATGAAACCATTGAATTTTTTTTGTAAAAATAGTTATAAAAACACGAGAACTTGAGATCGCGACACTTGACCAATGTCGCGATCTCGCATTATCGGGTGCTTACGTCCAAATTGCCTGTACAGTTATAAATAACTATTTTTGAAAACGCGAGAACGCGAGATTGAAACACTTGACCAATGTTGCGTTCTCGCGATCTTGTGATTTTGTGTCAATTGCCTCTACAGCTGTATGAAACTATTTTCAAAAATGCGAAAACGCGAGATCACGAGATTGCGAAAATTGACTAATGTCGCGATCTCACGTTCTCGCGTTTTTCTGACAATTATCAATACGGAACAAGTTTTATTTTTTAACATTCTATAGTTTTCTTATCGGACAATGTAAGGCATCTGTGTACAATTGCTGTCGAAGGGTGCGATTCACATGTTTCATGCGTGTTCAGTCGGGCTACCTGCACGGAGTATGAACACACATATTAGCAATATCTCTATTTCCAGGAACTTTGAGGCAATAGAATAATATAAGGCGGGATTTTTTGTAGTCAGGTGGGAGAGGATACAATTCTACGAATGCTACAAAAAGACGCTGAAAACCATATCAGTCATTCACTCACTCTGCATGGGACTTACATGTGTATGTAAATTACATAGCATTTTCAAGCTCAAGTCATAAGTTTGCTAAATGCTGCTTGGAGAATCAAGAGCATGAAAGAAGACGTGCGCATGCGCCTTGACCTTATGACATTACGCACGTGCACGGACAGCGTTTTAAAAACGAGAACACGAGAACGCGAGAGAGAACGAGAGATCGCGAGAAAATGTCGCATTCTCGAGATCTCGCGAATTTGTGTTTTTGTGCCCTAATTTGGCAAGTCGAGATTGCAAGATTGCGAGATTTTTAACCATGTCCAAATATCGCATTCTCAAGTTGTTGCATTAGACAAAAAGTGCTATGTATAAAAAACACGAGAATACGAGATCGCGCGAACGCGACATTTTGGCCTTCTCGCGATCTCGCATTCTCATGTTTTTAGCATATTAAGCTCGTTTCCAAAGGTCGAGATCACGATAGTGCGAGATCGCGAGAATGTCCATAACACTATTCCATTAATGTGGCAAAGGAATTTAACTTGAGCTTCAGGTTCATCAATAACCATCAAATACGCATTTCCCTTTAACTGATTTACGCACCTGAACTAGAAATAAAGGGGACATGTGAGACCACTTCATCTGTTCATTTTGATAAGCGTCTGTGAACATTCAGATAGTCTGGTAAACATTCTGGGCACTACAGTCCGTTTGATTCCATCTGAGACCAATGAATTGCTCACTTACTCAAAATCTTATAATTGAAACAAAACCAAAATGTGCACAGTGACATGAATTGGACAGACCAACTTTGATGGTTTGTCTCATAATTTTGGACATTCGAATAAAACAATTGTTTAACAAACGATCATCATATTGTTGACATTTTTCGCCATCCCATACCAGGGAGTACCAGTCGCCCATAGAACAGCCAGGTGGGCGAGTTTGCTGAGCAAACCATAGATGCGTCATTGCTATACCTGAAACAATGAGAACATCACTCGAAGTCAATTATTTGCAACGTCTTCAAAATTTTTAAAAAAGAATGTGAAAGAGGTAGACCACAATATACTTTGAAAAAGTATCGTTTAGGAACTGCATGTGCAGTTGGGATAACAGAAGGGAAGTTAAAAAAGTGTACTGATTCAACCTGCAGTGACACACTTGAGGGGACCATCTCAAAACCCAAGCCATGTTTTAAAGTCGATTCATTTCAACACGAGATGGTTAGAAACGCCATTAAGACTCTGTATAAACAAAATATCTATGTCCCTCTCCGTACTCTATAAAAGTATATGGAGACAAATCAGTCTTTGACCATTTCAAAATATCAGTTATGGAAATTGCTACACCAATTTGGTTTCCGTTACAAAGAGTAGGTTCCGAAAATAGACATGCATTATGCGAGAGGTATTATGATATTGCTCGACTAAGGAACCATTTCTTACGCACAATACGAGAAAAACGTTACGAGGGTCATGAGCCCGTATACTTGGACGAAACGTGGGTAAACGCTTCTCATACCACAGGAACACAATGGTTCCCTAGCTCCTCCTCTGATTTCTGTACCAGGAAATTGCAACTTGGCAAGGGTGAGCGGCTTATTGTGCTCCAGCCAGGCTGCAAGAGTCGGGGATTCCTACCAGGCTGTTCGCTAGTCTTTAAGGCAAAATCAAAGGACAACCGAGACTATCATACCGAAATGAACGGAGCGGTATTCCTAGAATGGGTTAATACTCAACTGGTACTCAACTTGCCCCCAAAGAGTCTGGTTGTCATGGACAATGCTCCATATCATTGCGTTCAGGTAGGTACCTAACACAAAAGCCCCAACGTCTAACAGTAGGAAGGGCGATATGATAGAATGGTTGACACGCAAAGCAATACCGTATCAACAAAAAGCAACGAAACCTGTTCTGTATGATATTATAAAGTCTAATAAAACCACACCTGTCTTTAAAGTTGACGAGTATCTTGAAGGACATGGCCATTCAGTTTTGCGATTGCTGCCCTATCATTGCGATTTAAACCCAATAGAACTACATGTAATTTGGGGTATCATTAAATCGGATGTTGCCAGGCAAAATACAACATTCAAACTGCGGGATGTACAGAAACTGGTTCAACAATCAATAGACACCATCACGCAGGAAACGTGGCAAAAGTGTGTTGAGAAAGTTGGGAATGAAATAGAGAGACATTATTTTGATTATAGTGGATTGTACCATGCCACAATCAAGCCAGTGATCATCAGGGTAGACTCGGACAGCGGCGATAGCGATTCGGACAACAGCGACACCGATTCCGAATGCACTGTCACAGCTTCAGAAACTTGCAACAGTGACTCCGATTGAACACCCAAAACGGCTTTTGATATGACCCCCATATACGGTGCACATGCTTGTTCATTACCTGGCTGATCCATGAGCGACTGGTCCTCCCCGGTATGCGATGGCGAAAAATGTCAACAATTTGATGATCGTTTGTTAAACAATTTTTTATTCGGGGGGTCCAAAATTATGAGACAAACCATCAGAGTTGGTCTGTCCAATTCATGTCGCTGGGCACATTTTGGTTTTGTTGCAATTATTAGATTTTGAGTTAGTGAGCAATTCATCGGTCTCAGATGGAATCAAACGGACTGTAATTTATCTTCCCTTCTTGTGTTCTTTTTCTTTTTGCGTCACAATCGGAATCGGAATTTACTCTCGGACGGGCAAGTTCGGGAAAGTTGGCCTAGGTATATCAATAACCATCAAATAGGCAATTCCCTTCCACTGATTTACCCACATGAACTAGATATAAAGGAGACCAGTGAAACCACCTCATATGTTTCATATTTAGACCTATGCATAAAGATTCAGAGTTACAAAACACTCTTCACAAGACTGTATGACAAGAGGGATGACTTGTCTCATCAATGTTTGATCGTTATTCATATGCCCATAACAGTCGAAATCGTACATTCCACTCTGATTTTAACAGAGACTTCTTGTGGCTATGGAAAGGGACTTGTCTCTTTCACTAATATCTGTTAAGTATTCACGAGAGTGGCGTTGGGCCTAAAATAAACACCTACATTTTTTTATGATTTTTTTATGAGTGGCGGGACATTGCTTACCTTTTTTTCTCGAATCGCAATCACCCATTCGTTAATTAGATCTTTCATGTGTTCGAAGTATTGTAATAGACTGCATATAACACTCTTGTTTAGTACACATCCCTGTCTGCGTAAAACACCGCCAATAATTATGTACATGTATGTTTATGGACGCCCATGTCATACATGTTCATTCACTTGGATACTACACTCTGATTAGCTGGTATTTCGCACATTCAGAATATTTGGTTAAACTGTCACATAAGAAGACCGCTCCTTTCCGTTCTTGTGTTTAGTTTACCGTTAACAAAGACCATCTTCCAAAACATAACCATCTGTCTCCCGAAAACTGACAAAGGGTAATGTTAGCTGAATCAGCCAACATGTTTGCAAGAGTTTCCAAATATGCGGTCAGCTCAGTACCAAAAGGGTTCCAATGATACTTTAAGCTGATAAATTGTTCGGACTTTCATAATTAGTTATTTCAAGGTTTGTTATTGAGACATGGCACATAGAAAAAACCCAATAACATTTGATATTATTGTTGTATAGCATAACGTCGTAAGTGCAGTCGTAATTACACCCTAGCATGATGCGTGTCCTATCATCGTCTCATCTTATCTTCCGTTACTCATTCATCAGTGACTAAACAGAGATGATATCAACGTTTCGTCATGCATCAGTTAACCCTTAATGACATACACATCTATATTTAACATACAAAACAAATACGAATGACAGTGTTTTCCACATAATACAAAATGAATGACCAAACATTTAATACATGGTATGGATATTTTTGGAGGAATATACATAAGGTATTTAACCTTATCTCGTACGGGTTGGATAAAATACATGTTTATCTGATACAAGTGAGTGGGAATGAATTTTCGCCCTTTTCAGCTATATTCCAACAACATCACAGCAGGAAACACCCCATATGGGCTTTGCACGTGGCAGCTATTGGAGAAATACAACCTGTGCCTCCTATGACTAATGATTGATTCACACCCTACACGAGTGGGAGATTTATCTTTCAATCAACTGTAACGTTTGGTAACATTTGTTCTAAATTATGATGCAAGAGTAAGTGTTAGGTCCTGGTAGATGAGTATATATCTCTTCCCGCTCTACCTTCACTGTCGGTGTGGAATGAAGACAATGGCGATGCTGCATACAACGTTCATTCTCCTCCTCTGCGTGGAACTCGTCGCAGGTAACTATAGTTTCAATTTTCTCTACGAATTATCATAATTTGTGTGTTGAAGATGTTAACGTCTTAACCAGTTGTTGTATGCGGAATGTTATTTGCGGAAAGCGTGTGTTTCTTATACCTTCCATGTTTCCGTCTTGCAGTTCTCAACAAGAAACGTTGCACTCCCAACATTATTTATAAGAATAGACCTGTAATAGATCTGTTAACAAGTAGTACTCAGTTTTGAACAACTGAGGTCACAATTTAATTGTCGACCCACGTTTGAACTTGTTTTATAAATCAGACATGTTTTTAGTTGCGTTCGGAATCAAGGTACATAGTTTTAGTCACCCGTGCACTCTCTATGAAGTTGAACCCATGGGCTATTTGAGGGACATTTTGTCCGTTGTTGAACGCCACATTCAGCAATATTCCAATTATATGATGGCGGCCCGTAAAATATTGAGTGTGGACACACGATTCAACCACGATCAACGGCACATGGGTACGATGACACGCAATCAACAAAGTTGACCACTGACCACTCCATTCATTTAGTCGCCACTTACAACTTTCTGAGGTTGCCTAGACCCGGAAGTGCTGATCCTCTATCTGGGGGAGAAGGTTCTCCACTCCACAAAGTAGTAGCTCGTAAACACGTATTTGTGCTGTTTATGTTTAGTCTTTGATGGCGCGAAGGTATTCATTACTTGCCCGTGAAGAGATCACCCGTTTAATAAACATACCGCTGTATTACATCCCTTGGCTTATTCAACGATATTGTGTGTGGAGATGATAGATCTCTGAGAGGAGCTTATGCACACTCTATGACACCAGCAACCTTGTTGCTAGGCTGACGTCATATGGCATTGTTTCGCCGATGGATCTTGCAACAAAATTCAACAAATTGCGTCATTGGTGATTGTGATGTGATTGTAAACTTTGAGGTGCAAGGCCCCGTTCGACGAGGCGATCGTATTGTAGTGCAACGACAGTCGTTAGTCTAAGTTAAAATATGGGCGTTGCGATAACCTTAGCGCTACGATCATTTTGTGGAACGGGCGCCTGAATTCTAAAGGTGGGCTGTTATATGGTATTAAATTCATACGTTTCAACTTTTGACGTATTTGAAGTATTACTGTGTTAAACTCAGTTGGAATATGCCGTGGCTCGTGTAGGTGTCAGCCTATTCACACTCAACAGTATAATCCTAAAAACATTATAAATGGCAAGTAATAAATAAAATACTAAACTAGCTCCCGTGTAAAACCAATTTAATGAAACTCGTAAAATTTCATAAAATTGGTATTACACGGGAGCTCGTTTAGTATTCTGTATATATAAGATGGTGATTTCAATACATGATGATTGCTGATTGCTTTCAATTTATGACAATTATGTTGACGTCGGCTGTATTCAACCGTTTGCACTATCTCATTCGCGATGTGCTTTGAATAATACAGCAGAAAATACAAAAAAAGTATAACATATGCATGTCTCTCCCCACCATGTATTTATTTGTCTGTACTGGAATCTATGTTTTTTTCAGGTGGCGGAGCTGTGTTCACTCGGTGGGGAAAGACAACATGTCCGTCAGGAAATGATGTCATGTATAAAGGTAAAACAATTCGATAGATCCTTTTGCGGAGCGTCAAAAGGTAGTAAATAAGTTTTTATCCAAATGGGGTCATAAATGAGTTTGATTTTTCATGACATTTTAAAACTTGTCAGCGTGTCAGTTGAATCAAAGTAAACTTATTAAATGGTAGAAAAGGCCAATATCAAATATACTCCATTTCATGTATGAACAATTATGAATGTACTTTACACGAATTGTAATCGATCAATATTTATCCGTATATAAATAACATATACACATGTGTGTGTGGCTGCTTATACGAGCCCTGACTTATGATAGTTTCACAGTGTTAGCCAACTGAGATACCATGCCTCAAGTATGGTTCACTGAGATGCTTAAACTGCTGGTCAGTCCTTGTTTTATCCCATATTAAGCTCTTTTTATGAAGATGTCAAAGAGCATCAGAGAAAGCAGAATATAAAGTTGATTAAATGGCAATAAGATTACGCTACGTCAAACCATGCAGATTTGAAGAAAAACATCTGTGCCAAATCAATCCTGATCATCACACATAAATATGTGACACAGCTTAAAAATATATGCCATAGCAACCCAGCATGATGTTCCGGAAGCATATCCATACATGTAGTGTCAGCGAATACTATTCCCATTTGCTTACAAACGTACGTTGTACTTGGTTTAAATGATGTACGTTGCTGTGAGATTTAACATCAATTTATCCACATGAGATATCAACATACTTTGTACATGGTCTACACTCGCGGTAGAAAAGGACACGCATACCCTTTTTGCAAACATCAATGTTTTTCAGTTATCCATTAACATAATTTCACTACTATTCTGCCTTTTACACCCAATGGAATCTGTTTCTGTGAACAATCGAAATTGAGTATTCTCGGGCGTTGACGTTTTATATTTGTAAAACGGTAGCCTTTCAGATGAAAAATGATAAATAGAATTCACCTCTTGTCTTGCCAAAGACTCGGCAAATTAAATTTACTAAAGTACTCATGGAAATGAAAAAAAACAAAACTGTTTTGCTGGATTTAAAAATCGACACAAAGCATTATGTAGATGTAAATACGAAATAACAAAACAACTGGAAAAGTACTAGTTTGGATTTGCTAGTTTTATCTCAGTGCTCAATACAAAATGTACTTTACAGGAGGTAATTTGAGGCACTTTCAACATTCAAAAATAAAACTATGTCCAAATTGACATGGCAGAAACAGGCAAAAGGCATTATTCAAATAAGCCTGGAAAAGGGTTATCAAAACAACAATAAAAATAACAGCTATGTTTACGTACAAAATAATAATGACATGTAAGTTGTTGTTTGAGAAGGGAGTATGCTGCTTTTACGTTCTGATATTTTGACGATGATTCACTATCCCAAAATGACACTCACAAACCACTAACCACTGACAAATCTCATGCACGTGTGTTTCAAGCACCTGTTTTCACCTCTCGTCAAGGTGTCATATAGGTCATGGACATTCAACTTGATCTACTAACACCTGGTTATGCTGAGTTTCACAATAGTCTGTTTTGTTCATATTTTTACACACTTTTATGTGTAAAAAGACATAAAAACCTTTGATACGCTGTATTTGTGCCAAGGCCCAATTAGTACTAATTGAGTTGTTTGAATATGTATCTATTTTGTATATAAACTGCATTTATTTAAAATCTGAGATCGAAAAAACAGTTTTTTTTTCATTTCCGTGAGTACTTTAAGACTCGTCAATGCATTAAAATATTACTTGGTTTCCAAGCAACTATTTGATTTGACTAAAACACAAGTAAATGCTAGTCCCTTTCAATCTCCCAGGTTATGCAGGAGGAAGCCATTACCAGGCCAAGGGTGGACCAGGGACAACTCTGTGCCTTCCTGAATCACCGATCTACGCCAATCATTCTACCGCTGGTTCACGCAGTTATCTTTATGGAACTGAGTATCAACTTGAAGATCCCTCTCTTCCACTACGAAAAATGTTTCAACATGATGTCCCTTGCGTGGTGTGTCGCAGTCGTTGCATGAAGAGTGCTGTCATGGTCCCTGCGAGGAATGATTGCTTCCCTGAGTGGCATCTGGAATACAAGGGGTACCTCTTTGGAGGTTCCACTGAACACACAGCTTCAAGTGATTATGTGTGCGTAGATGGAGACCCAGAAACCATAAAGGGAGATGATCAAAACAAAAACGGACATCTCTTGTTCCTGGTCGAATCTACTTGTGGTGCTCTGCCTTGTCCACCATATGTAAATGGCTGGGAGATGACCTGTGCTGTCTGTACCAAATAAAACACTCCATATAGACCATACTGTCTGTCAGATATGTACATTAACTGTGTCTTACATACATCCGATAAACACATTCAGTTTTCATAAGACTTAAAATATCCATTTAAAACTGTGAAGATCCGAGGTAGAATAGGTCTTCAGCAACCCATGCTTGCCGTGACAGGCGATTTCAGCATGTCATCTAAATCAATCAATCAAATAATGGTTTATTGAATAAAATGCCATTGGCCCAGATACATGCAAGTTACATTGACTTGTCGTTATATTAACAAATACTGTAGTATACTGAGTATCAAGACAACTGCCGTAATATAAAATCACAATGAAAGAAACTTGAAGCTGTAAGTTATTTTTAAATAACAGTTTTCTCAGTACTTGTCTGCCTTAATATTCTCGGAAACTATCAGAGCATCAGCAACTTCTACTGTTTGCATACTTGAACTCACAACGTCACAAACGGTCTTTTAGTATTCTAAGATATGTCCATTGGTGGCCGCCATATTGAATGCTACTTTTGTCCGAATGTAACTGGAAAAAACATTTTTGTTTGCCTTATATGTTTGTAAAGTTGTCGCAGACTTTGCTTCATATATTGCTATTGAATAGTGAACAATTTCTGTTCTTGATCATATGTCAAAAGTCGCGTGACATGGCAGCTAAATTGGTATGAATCTGTTGAGAGCGTATTTGTCATTTATGTAGGGTTTCTTTCCTAAAAAACTGAACCGCAAAAGAAACGTCATCCCAAGTAACATTGCATCATAAGTTGGCATTTATATATCTGGGTAATTTTTGTCAAAGTTTCCAAAATTTAACATTACCTTGTCCAGAAAAATGAAATCTTATGATAAAAAAAGAAGGCAGATGACAATAAAACCGATCACCCAAACGAATCACGGCAACGGGCACGGTAAGCCGATGCACGTGATTTCCGTGCAAACTGAAATGCACATGCGTTCTCCCATTTCTTGCCCTAGAAAAATCCACCCAGATCGGATAACATTCATTCGTTATTGAATTGCTACCACATGCCAAGATTGACAAGAGATCAGCAACACCTAGCCCTTGGGCGATTGCAAGCTGGACCAACCACCCTGCAAATAGCCAATGCATTTCAAGTCCACGTAAGGATCATATGCAGGCTCCAGCAACGGTACAAGACCACCAACGCTACAGATGACCGACCACGTAGTGGAAGACCAAAGGTCACCACCCGGCGACAGGATCATCAGATTGTGCGACAGCATCTTCAAGATCGCTTTGTTACTGCTGCAAAAACTGCTCGACACACCAGCGAGACATTAGTGCGGACTCTGTGTGTCGACGATTGACGAGCAGACACCTCTACTGTCACAGTCCACACTGAGGCCCCATTCTGACACCGCCTCATCGCCGGCACCGTCTTCAGTGGGCAACACAGCACTAGCAATGGCGACACCAGCAGTGGAGAAGAGTCCTCTGCTCAGACGGGAGCCGTTACTGTATCTCAACAGCAGTTGGCGGAGAGGTAGATATATATTCTGGCGAAGCGTTAATAAAATATGGGAAATACGCCAATTATCTACCTTTGTATCAATGGAGGATCTGTTGAAAAATAAGCAAACCTTGGTAATGTTTTTATTTATTTTTTTCTTTAGAGTCGATTAGAGAAAACGTATTATTTCTGTTAGGTGAGTGAGTGAGTGAGTTAGAATTTAAAGTCACATCGGCAATATTTCAGCCATATCGTGACTATCAAGGGTATTATCGCTGTTAAAGAGAGAGTGACAAAATAAATCCATGTAACGGGATTTACCATGAACTTTGTACATTATTCACCTAGAGCCATATAACTTTCAATCTTACTGACTGTACTTGGGATGTGTGTTCCTTTGGGCTAAGGTCACATGTGTTCCGAATCATCAAGTGATGTACTTAAATCTAGCTTTGCAATAAATTGAGCTAATTGAAGTTACAATACTTTCAGTTGAAAGGTTCTAGACAGGCAGCCTAGTTTGAAATAATCCAAACAAGAAGTCCATTTTGTTTTTGGTATAAACTGAAATAGCACCACAGGCCTTCAGATTTAAGGTTTTAATTCAGAAAGGAAAGTATTTTCTATATCCGGGAGTTAGACAATTCAAATACGAATAGTTTTCTTGTATAATGAGCTAAAAGCATGGAACCTTATTGCTTGTTTTATTAAACCTCAAATGACAGAGCACGAACACAGAAAGTACTTATACTTTTGGTATAAACTGAGCTAGAACTATTGGACTTTGTGATTTAAGATGTTAAGTATGCATACATATTTTTTGCCGAAACCAGAAGTGATTAAGTCTTTACACAAACTTGAGGAGGATCACATTGCCGCCTATATCTTGCTGAGATATCTGCAAAGGCTAGTGGCATACTTTGTACTTTAAATTATTTACACACGCGGTTGCTGTATGATTTTACGTCCCATCAATAGATTTTGGCAAACACAGTGATTTAAAATCAAAGGAGGTGAGGTGAAATGGGGTTTAACGTCGCGTCCAAGATTATTGCACTTGTATAGCGACGTGCATATGTGTGTGTGTGTGTGTGTGTGTGTGTGTGTGTGTGTGTGTGTGTGTGTGTGTGACTGCTTGTACTAGTTCAGTCACTGAGATACCATGCCGCAGTTTAACATGATTACGCCACTCAGACACAGTTTACTGACTTCGAGCCGACCAGTCCTTGTTTTAGCACCTTAATGGCGAGCGCCATACAGGGTAACAACATGTACCATCTTTTAACGTCTTTTGGTATGACGCTGCCGGGGATCGAACACCGGACCGTCCGCTCTCCGGTCGGACGGTCTACCAGTAGACCACGGAGGCGGTCACAATCAAAGGGAATTTAAAAGTCAACGCCAGAGAGAAATCCGTTTCGATTATCTTCTAAATCAAATTCCATTGGGCATAAATTGAGATCTAAATAAATGGATCACTGGAAATCACTTCTCTTTACATACATTTGTAAGTGTCAACATGTTCCATACTTTCCGAGGGTTGATCAATGTCCACACAGAGCTATTGTGCAGGTATTGGACAAGCAACACATAACCCAAATTGGACATTTATGTTGGAACTCAACAAGAATTAAAAAAGATATTTTAATATGTATGCACAAATAATTAGAGTGACAACAATATATGTGTAAAATCTATGACAAGACGGATTACTTCAGTCTACATTCTCTACATGTTTGAGCCATTTCCAGCAGCTCCAACCTTTGGTTTCAACATTTCACAACTTAGGATACAATCGAGCATGCTCTTTCTTCGAATCATTTCTTAATTTGTTTTTGGCGATTTTACTATGTTTCGGTTTAACGGGACAATGCGCCATACAGCTCATAGAGCACAAAAGTTGTTTGATCAATGTTACAAGATTCAAGGCCTTAGTAAAGCTTTCAGAACGTTTTACGGTACAGACGAAAAAGGCATTTCTTAATTTGATTTTGGCGATTTTAGTATGCTTCAGTGTAACGGAACATCGGTACATATAGAAGGCACAGACAGCTTAAATTGTGGCTCAAATATATACGACACAACTATTTTCCTATTTCTGAGAAATCTCCACTTAAACCATCATCAATTCCCTATTGAGTTCCATTATCTCAGTGTAATCCTCCATTCATCCTGATATAGACGATTTCATCCGGCACCTGCCATTTTGACGCACGTCGGATTGGTTGCTTCCACAAAACCCACCGTAACATCGCGCAGTTAGTCTTTTCTAGCACCTGTCCAAGGGGGTATATATGATTTGTAGCCTCCACAATAGCCACCGTCACATCAAGCAGTAACTCGTTGTTATCACACGTCCAAGGGGGTATATGTGATTTGTAGCTTTCACAATAGCCACCGTCACATCAAGCAGTAACTCGTTGCTATCACACGTCCAAGGAGGTAAATGTGATTTGTAGCTTCCACAATAGCCACCATCACATCACGCAGTAACTCGTTATCACACGTCCAAGGGGGTATATGTGATTTGTAGCTTCCACAATAGCCACCGTCACATCACGCAGTAACTCGTTCCTACCACACATCCAAGGGGGTATATGTGATTTGTAGCTAATATCCAGCTACCCTGACTCTTGTTATGTTGATACCCGACAGCCTTGTCATTGGTGTGTCCAAGGAAAGGTCCATGTACAAAGAAAGAAGAACAGACAACATAATATGTTTGCCGTTATAATGCCTTTGAGGTCACAGTTAGTGACAATAGTGTGAGGCATAAATACGTCGTGAATTACATGGGGAGGTTTTGAAAATTATACTTTTGAGTTAAGCTGAAGTTTCAAAAGCCTAATGAACATGATTTTTTCTTTTTCTATTAGTAAATGTTTATCATTGTTAAACAATTTATAATACGAAGAGACAGTAAAATTGCTCACATATATGCAACGTACATGTGTATCTCGAATTTGCTGTCTGGGTACAGTCATGTGTTCTATTAGTTGTAAACCAGTTTCCCAAAAGTAATCCTCTCTACATCCCGCACATATTAAAACATGAGTAACGTCTTTACTGCGGCAGTCCATGTTGCTTTTTACAGGAAATAGCTTGTCTTCGCAAAATGAAATATAGCAATCTTTGATTATTTTGGGGTAAGTTCCACATCAAGGGGTTTTGCTCTGCTCCTGGTATTTGTTCTTTATCAGTATGAAGTTGTAGTTTGCTATTCGTGTTTTGCACATTTTAAGATATCACTTTGGCTTTGTGTATTATATTCCCCGGCTATCCAGGAGAGACTGACAAGTCAGCTGTATAACTACAATACTGAAAACTCTGTGCGTGTCTACTACAACAGTACTGACAGCTTCGTGTATGTCTCCTGCGACAATAATGACAGCTCCATGTGTGTCTCCTACAACAATACTGCCAGCCCTGCGTGCCTCTTACAACAATACTGACAGCTCCGCGTGTCTCCTACGACAATATTGACAACTCTGTTAGTGGCTTTTGGCTGGATGGTGATAAACTTTGGAACGGTAAGCCACAAA